TTCAATAGATCCTTTCTCAAAATCTGGAGAACGGACAAAATTATTATGTAGAAAGATACAGGCTAAGGAAGCAGAGGGCAAGGATGCTGAGGCCCAGAGCACCTAGTACCACGGCCCAGGACACACCCGTGAGTGCCCACTGCAGATTCAAAGACCGGAGGAGAATTTCTCCAATAAAAGTGCTCACTGCACAATCATCCACTTTCTTTTTTTTTTTTTTTTTAAAGATTTGTTTGTTTGTTTGTTTGTTTGTTTGTTTATACAAACACTGGATACAGAGCAGGCAGAAGGACTGAAGCACATTGCTGAGGGGAGCAGCGGGGGGCAGGAGAGGTCTGTGCGCCATGTGGGACCCTCGCCTGGTGGCCAGGGATCGAGGCTGCGGGCAGCTTCGCAACCCAGCGCTCAACCGCTGCGCCACTGCCACCGGGGAGGCCCACAATCACTCACTTTCTCCTAGGACACTCCCTTCCTCTCTGCATCTCTCACCTTCCACCAGCCCACTCTAAGTGCTTTTAGCAATACACCATAGTCAGAATCACCCACACTTTGCCATTCTTTTTGAGAAACTGAACACAATACAATAACTATGGTTTTTCTGGCTCATGTGTATTTACAGGTAAATGATTCAAAGCAAACTGGTAGGAGCAGGCAAGAGAGATTTAATCTATATGTAAAAGGGCATTGCATAAGGGAGAAGCAGCGAAGACTTTAAGAATTATTAAATATATGTACCAGAATGTTGTTTCCCTGACAAACAAGTAAGCAAAGATAATATTTTACTGATTTAAGTTTTTTTGTTTCTCTGTTAACATTTTGAAATATACCATTTTTATTCATATGTGCAAGTCTACAAAGTAATCAGTTTGTGGCTTAAAAAGGCAAATGAGCATTTAAAATTTTCAGATGTGTGTGCCTCCCTGATAACACAAGGGGTTAAGTTTCAACATTATGATGCTGTCCACAGCCACTGCAGCATGAGTTTGAGCCCCAGCCAGGGAACTACTCTCATGGAGCAGCAGGCCTCTCCTGTCTCACCCCTTGCTCCCCTCAGCAGTGCATTACAGTAGATCAGCCTGTTCTGTTTTCCCACTCATCTCTGGGGAATCCTCTCACCTCACCTCTGGCCTATACCCCAGTTCTTGTATACATAAATAAATAAATCTTTAAAAAATAAATAAACAAAATTTTCAGATGGAAGATTCCACCACGTTGGACAAGGATATACATTCAACTCTGCAATACATTGAAGTCTGTTAAGATGAAGTGCTCTCTCTCTCCTTGCTCTGTTCTATCCTACACACAGCTGCCTGACTAATCCTCCAAAAACACCAATTTTCATATGCCACTTTTCAAAATCCAGCTTCCTGGTATCCTGCTGCTTAAAAAAAGTTTCAAATGCTTTTGCCCGGCACTCAAGGCACTCCATGATGAACACTCCTAAATATTCCCTCCTATTCATTTCTTCCACCACATGTTGGTAGTGTGATTTGGGTCTAATTATTTAAAGACCTATCTCCCAATTGTCCCAGCAAAGCTCCCATGCATTTCCAAAGCTCCTTAAGCAATGTTCTGAAAGTCTAGGTCATGTACCTACCCATGTGGTAGGGAGTAGGGATGGTGTTGCTCCAGAAGAAAACTAGGCCATTATTGTGAGAAGTCAGATGGTGAAACAACAGACATCCATTACAATTGCCTTAATATACCTTGGAAAAAACAATACATATCTATTCCAAAAATAAGGAGAAGGCCAATTAACTTATTAACTGTTTTTTGTGCCCCTTCTACCATGTACAATGTTACTAGGGTGTATTAAGTAAATTGAGCTGAGGGACTGTCCAATTCTGGATCACAGGGAGTTGGCTGTTTTCCTAAATGCATCCACTCCCATTGTATTGATAGTTCTAACTACTTTTATATGAATCAGACCCTGTCAGGGAGCCCCGTTTCCTATATACAATATATATACCCTTGGAAAGAGGGAGTTATGGGGGCCTCCCTGGTGGTGCAAGGGGTTAAGCGCCGCACTGTGAAGCAGTCCACGGACTCTGCAGCATGAGTTCAATTCCTGGCCAGCCAGGGAGCTACCCACATGGTGCAGCAGACCTCTCCTGTCTCACCTGCTGCTCCCCTCAGCAGTGTTTTCAGTCTATCTGCCTGTTCTGCTCCCTGCTCTGTCTCTGGTGAAATCCTCTCACCCCCTGCACCTCTAGCCTGTACCCCAGGTCTTGTATGCATAAATAAATCTTTAAAAAAAAAAGAGGGAGTTATGTTGGTCAATCTTAGGTTGTATAAATTTAAGTAATGCCTACTCAAAATGGTGTAAAATGAACAAAACCTATATTCTATGATGAATCAAAAAATATCATTTGAATTGCCATTTTCCCCATTTGAAGATGACATTTCTAATAATTGTCATTATCTGTGAAAAGATAGGAGGTCAACAATTTTTTCCTCACTTAAGATGATAGCCATATTATCATGAAAAAAGGTGTTAGAATTTGTCTGAAAACTTCCGTGGCAAGCTGTCACAGAGCAGTCACCACTGAATCACTTGGCTTCTATGTATCTCAGTGCTTTTCTTCCACATATATCCCATCTTGCTTTAAATCACTACCCCAGCTTTATACTGAAAGAGTATGTGCAAATCTTTCTTCACTATCAATTCTTATTAGTCAGAGATTTTTCATTTTGATTTTCCCATGACTTGGCATTTTGTTTGGTGCATGGTGGAGGTATCAGGGAGCTATTAAAAAATTATATTCATGAATTCTACCAATCAAATCATTGATCCATGTTGCGCACAGACACTACAATAAATATTGGTTCATTTCTTGTAACAAAGGCAATGGGAACTTCTCTCAACAGCCTAAGTTCAAAGGAAAAAAGGAAGGTAGGAAGGTAGCTGGCTTATTTGTAACTACCATGTAAGAGGTACTGGTGTAGATGTTTATATACATTATTTCAATGAATTTTCACAATTCTGAAAATTCTTAGAGACTCAGAGTTTTGGTTACTTACTAAAGCAGCGCACAGTCATGTGAGAGGCAAACCCAGCATGTCTGCCTTCACGAGCACCAAATCTGCTCTTCCCATTTATTCTGATTCTGTGATTCATGAGTATCTGGGTGCTACTAAGAAATGTCAAAAATGTCCACTTTGAAGAGCATTTCCAATCCTCTTTGGAAAACAATAGAAGCAAAAGTAAGATACACATAGAACTACCCTCTTAGCTAAACCTAATGTGACAGCAAATAGTTTGTATGGGAACCCTTTAGGAATTTCAGAGGATGAAAATTTCTTTTAAATCACTTATTTTTTGTAAATTACAAAAATAATAACCCCCATTTGCATTATACCTTATAGTTCACAAAGCATATGGGAATAATAAAGATAATGATTGGTTATGCTTGCAATTCACAGAAAAGGAGGTGTAGGGAAATGGAATGAGAGGGAATAATAACCTATCTACAAACTTCCTTTTCAGAAATTAACCTTAAAGTACATTTGTGCCACTCATCTTCATTTTGATCTAATAAAGAATGCAGTGATTTAAAAAAAAGATGAATCATCTTTCAGGGTTTTGGAAAACTAGGCAGCTTTAAGAGCAATGCTTTGAGGTTGTGTTGCTAACAAAATAGCCTAACTCGATCTGTGGTTCCTAACTACCCACCTCTGAGACAATACTATCTTCATGAGAAGTACAGGAAGAACCATAAACCAAACCTCAAAATGGATTCTCAGAGAAAATACCCTTAAAAAAAAATTTCCCTTCCTATCAGAACACAGAGCAAAAGGAAGTTTATCCTCCCACTCACAAATTTCTCAGAAAGTTTTCATCTAGATTTTAAACTCTTAGACAAAGCAGGATCCTCTTGGCTGAGCCTCTCATTTCTTCCATGGCCTGTTCCTGAGAATAAGAGGTCAACCTGCAGAGTGCCATGGGCCTCCTTACTACCAAACAGGTGGAGAGAAGCACCCAACAAGACGCTGGTTATCAAGAAGGTATGTAGACATGTACTTGCTTTCCTGCCTTCTCCAGCGTTGTGCCTTCAGCCACAGGCTGCTCCTTCATGACAAATTGCTGATACTGTACCCTCAAAGCCATGGCATGGTCTCTTTCAAGCCAGTTCCTACCTTTTTGTTCTTATGTGTGAAGGCAGATACAGATTGTTTAAAAGCACCTGAGGGATACCTATTATATTTAAATTGCCTATAATCTCTGCATAATGGAGTTCTGAAGGATGGCAGGTTTAGTTAAAATATAACAATCTTACATATATTCTTAGCCAATGACTCCAATCTGTGCTCACGTAATTGATATAAATCCCTTTTAAATCATCTCTAAAAAAAAAAAAAAAAAAAAAAAAAGACCAATTCCACATTTTCCTAGACTCCCAAGCTCGTTTATCTAGAGAGGTGGTGTGAGAGCGCATCAGGCGTTCTCCTTTCTTTCCTTTTGTGCAGAACCTACCCTGGAGGTCATGTAACAACTAATGCCAGAGAAAAATCAAAATAGAAATTATTAGCGTGTGCCATCATGTAGCGGCATACTCTGCCTAAAGATCAGGAAATTGTCTAAATATTAGATCGCCGGCAGGCGTCTCAGTCCAGGCCTGTGTGCGGAGAGCTGTGTCCTGGCTGAGGGCGTGACTAGGGGGCCAGGAGAGCGACCCACGACCACGGCCGACTTTCAAAGCGAGTAATTGCCTTGCAGTCTCTCCCCCGCAGCAAGCGCGCGAGCTGGGCGGCGGGACGTGCGCAGGGGGAACGAGGCACTGGGCACCTCGCAGCCCCAGCCCCAGCCCCAGCCCGCGGCACCCCGGCTCCCGCCCTGCGCCTCCGGAGGAGGGATCGAGGGACGCGCGGAGAAGGGGCTCTGCTAATTGCCGGAGCAGGAAGTGAGCGCGAGGAAGAAGCTGCGGAGACCCGGGGCGGGGGTGGAGGAGGGGCGCGCAAAGCCGGGGAGCTTTGCTCTGGGCGCATCGGGGCCGCGGGTCCTTCCATCGCGGCCGTCCCGCTCCCCCGGGTCCCGGAGGCCGCCCATCCCCGCTCGCTCAGGTGCTCCGTCTGCCCCACTGCGCCCCATGGCTTCTCCGGACGACCCTCTGCGCGCAGGTAAAGTGACACCGCACCGCGCCTTCCTCTGGGGTGGAGACCGCGGGCCGGGAGTTCTCCAGGCGCCCACGGCGGCGACAACGCGGGCCATCGGGGCTGAGTCCAACGCGATCCCCCGGGGGTGCCTTGGGGAGGCTCCGGACGCTCCCCACCCCCGCTAACCCCCTCCGCGGGACCCGGGTGCGCACTGGACCGGCCAGGGGACAGCGGCGGCGCTCCGGCCACCAGGACAAGGACGCGCGCGGTCCGCCTGGTGAAGCGCTGTTCGTCGCCGCTCGCGCGCTGGCCTCCTGCGCCCGCCGAGGCCGGTGTCCATCGACACGATCACGCGTGCCCGAGACGCGTCTGCCCGCGTCCTACTAGCCGCTTTTGTTCTGGACCGGGGATGCCAGGTTGAAACAAGTCTCAAATCTCTCTGGCAAAAAAAAGCGCTTGGAGTGGATTTCTTTTTTCCCCCCTTCCGCTTACTCCCTGCCACATGCCTTCACATTTCTCTTCTCTCCAGATATGACTTTCATCAAGTGGTTTTGCTTTAAATATTGGCCCTCGGAGCTATTTTGCAAAGTAGTATCCACAAAGCCAAGAGGTTGCTCTCACCTGTGGGATCCCACCTGTAGAGAGGCCTTTGATGAGAAGGGCCTTTAGTTCTGTCCTTATTTAAAAATAGCGTATTTTTGTACCTGAGGCCAGAATCTCCTTTTCTCTCCCTTAATCTCTCACTTGAATTTAAAATCCTCCCAGACCTCACCTTCCAGGAATTCTGTCCTTATGCTACCATAACCTAACCTAGATGGCTGCACAGTGAATGTTGAACACACGGTGATGTGCTGGGTTTGGGAGTTTCCTGAGATTTCAAAGAAAGATCTAAATTTATCTTCAAGAGAAATATTCTCTGGATATCCTTCCCCTCCCCCACACCTATTGTTTGAAAAACCTAAGGGGAAATCAAGGGAGAAGTCCTACAATCCATCCCCTCTCACCTCCACTTCCACCTTCTCTTCTGAGAACCTATTTGATAAGGTGTCAAGAGGTGTTAGGACAGATTTCTATAAGGGTGACTTCAGCTTTCATTAAATGGTGATGGTGAGGGGGATTCAAAAGAATCTGGTAAGGGAGACAAAAGTCAGGTCTGCTTGAGCCCCCAGAATCAATGGCTCTGAGAAAAGGTGGGGAGCTGGAAATGGTGTGATGATGCCACCAGAGCAGCTGATAGCATCTTAGGTGACAGGATCCTGGATTCCAGTGACGGGCCTCTTAGTCTGCTTGGCCCAGGCAAATTGGGTGCACACAGTCTGGAACACATGTCTCATTTAGTTTCTGTGGCTTCAGGACACACATGGCTATTCTTCCATGACCATAATGAAGCCATAGACAGGGCCAATTGTCAAGCAGAATTTTCATTTCTTTTCCCCCCAGACCAAGTTACCACTTTTTCTGGGTTTCCTGAACCCACCTCCCAACGGTATTTTCACACCCCCTCTTGCCTTCCACCAACCCATTCACCAAATCGTGGCCAGTGTGACCTTTTAAAAACAAACCAGCATCTGTCATACTTAGAAATCTGCATTGACTTTCCTACAAATCCTCCGTCCCTCAGTGGTTTCCCACACCCTGCACACCTATCTTCACAACTCCTTCCAATGGCTCCCACCTGCACTGCAGCCCCTGCCCCCTTGTGTTTCCTCAAAAGCTTCCTGTCCTTTGCACAGGCTTTCCCGACTGCCTGGCAACCTCAGGGAGTCACCTTCCACCTCCAACTCTGGTTACCTCCTCATCCTTCAAATTTCACCGTTCAAGTCACCTCGATCAAGCTCCACATTTTCTATTCTCAGAGGCCCTGGTACTTCTCCTTCCTGGCACTTGCCACCATTTCTGGCTGATTGTTTCTCTCTCTCATTAGACTACATAGCCCATGGTCAGAGTGCACATCTGGTTTGCTCAGCTGTTTATCAGCACCTGGCACAGTATACAGCACATAGTAAACCCTGGCTAAATATTTTTGAACTGAGTGAGTGAATGGAAGACATAAAACTTAGCCACATATGCTTCAAATCTTAGGTAGATAAAGCTCTTCCCTATTGGCATCTTAGGGACTTATTCACCAAATTAGATATGTTAACTGAATTTACCTTATAAAGTTAAAAGAAGGGCCTCCCTGGTGGCGCAGTAGTTGAGCACTGGGCTGTGAGGCTGCCCACAGCCTCTGCAGCGCTGGTTCGATCCCCGGGGCTGCTGGGCGAGGGTCCCACATGACGCGCAGACCTCTCCTGCCACCCGCTGCTCCCCTCTGCCTGCTCTGCTCCCCGCTCTGGCTCAGGTGAATCCTCTCACCCTCCCGCGCTTCTGACTGTACCCAGTGCTTGTATAAATAAATAAATAAATCTTTAAAAAAAAAATAAAGTTAAAAGAAAAAAAGATGTTTGTATATACACGGGTGCATATCAAAGAGGTATATACATTATTGTACTATGTTATGCACTTCAGTTAAAAAAGAACTTTCCATACTAGAAGCTGACAAACCTGTTGAGGGCACATGGAAGGAAAAGAGTCATTCTGGTTAAAGCAGAGATATCTCACTCTATCTTTACTGCCAATAAAGTCTAACCTGGAATCACTCAGAATTGTTTGTGAAATATGAGTAATAATCTGGTTCCTGTTTGTACAGATATTAAGGACAGAAGCAAAGAGAGACTTTGAGAGTCTGGTTGAGGAGGTGGTCCAGTTCTTGGTTCCATTACAGTAAGCAAAGTCTGTGCCACAGAGCACGTCTTGGTGTATTCTCCCGTAGTTCTCGGGGCGCCCCTGCATTGCCCAGCAGCACTATTCCCTGGGAGCCCTGGCCCTAGAGGCCAGCTCACTATCACCCCTTAGATGACATCTCACCTCTCAGCTCCCCTCCAAGCCCTCCTGCATGTTTAGATGGGTCCAAGATGGCCGGCTGTCCTCACACACTCCATCAGCAATGGGAGCAGAAACTGGGACTAAGGGGGACTCACTTCATAAGCACCCATGTGTACTAAGCTGGACCAGCCAGTGTTTTCTTCACATCCACCAGAGAGGGGGCAGGCTGTGGCTTTCCCTTCATGCTTCTCTTTCTCTTCCCCTCCCTATGGTTTTTTTCCAGTGCCCACGTCATTTCTTTTTCTTTCTGATACTGTCTGTGTTCTCAGTTAACTTCCTTACCCAAGTATTCTTCTACTGCCCTCTGAATCTTCTCTCTCAATCCTTTTTGTCATCTTTTGCTTCCTCCTCCTCCACTTTCCTTGCCCCTCTGGTTGCACACCCTTTATGTGTGAGCCCCTGATGGGCACAGCTAAAGCTCCATCACCCTCAGAGAACTTACTCTGGGAGCACACTCTGTGATCCCTTGTTCAGCCTCAGCTCTGAGGATGGTGGCATGACACTACAGCAAAAGACAGAGAGGAAGATAAATTAAACAGTGTGTCCATAGAGCCACAGGGCATTTCTCCTGCTGAGAGCTTTGGTAATCCTGAATATGATTAGGATTTTAGGGCTTCTTTATAATCAGCAATGAAAATAGCTGTGGGTCAATGGTATAATAATAATATATACCAATAACAATAATTATAACAATGGTAGAATAAGATAAATGAAAAATAAATTAACTCTGAAATCACACCTCCAAAGAATTTTCATTTTTTCCCACAAACATGAACATTTTCTCATTTTATTTCTTTAGTCATTTTTTTATGAATTATTTTATTTTATATAATTCTTACATCATTTTTCATTTTTGCATAATGTATGCATTTTCATTTTGATTATATTCACCATACAATTTCCACCCCCTTTTCAAAGAAGTTTCTTTAAATCTTCATTAGAAAGCACATAGGCTTTTGGCTCATGATCCTTGAGAAAGTCAGAAGCTCTGACTTGCTTCCCTTTATTTTTTCTGAAAGGACATCTTTACACATCTTTGAACTTCCTTTGAGAAACTGTCTGTGGGAACTCTTGGTCCTTACCTAATGGGATGAGAAGAGGGAGATGTGAGGGGTGACAGGGTAGCTGCTGTGCAGCCCACTGGTGTGTGTGTTGGGTAATTTGCGATGTTCCTTCTGGAGAGGATGCTGGAAGCCCAGTTCCTGGGCACTCCTGATTCTGATTTGGTATGTGATGTGTGTGGGGTCTTTGAGTAGATCATGAGTTGATGATATTTTGGATTTGGAGATAATACTGGAATGGTAAGGCTTGGGAGTACTTGGGTAAATGTATTTTGCATGTGGGAAGGACAAGAATTTGGGAGATCAGAAGTGGACTATTGTGAGTTGAATTGCTTCTCACCCCCAGAAAAATTATGCTGGCATCCTAACCCCGAATACTTCAGAACGTGACCTGATATGGAAAGAGTCTCCAGAGTGGTAATCAAATCTAAACGAGGTGATTAGAGTGGGCTCCAATCCAGTATGACTGGAACCCTAATAAAAAAGGGGACATTTGGAGACAGAGTCCCTCTCAAGAGACTACCAGGTCAGAGCATGAACTACTTCTGGAACCATGAAGATTGGGGAAAACAGGAAGATTGTGAAGCCAAAAAGTCCCAGATCTAAATTCTCACTCCCATTATCCTGTGACCTTGGGAGTTCAGTATGTGAGAAGGGGCCCCTCTAAGACTGCATGTAAACCGTACAGCACAGTATAACAAGCAGGAGTGCTTATTGTCACTTACTGAAACTGCTGTGAGCAGGGCTGCCTATAGCACCATGTCTTCCACTTGAGTTGCTTTTCCCTGTGGTGCCACTACTTATCACCACTCATGGACTTTAAAACTGGAAGAGCTTGTGGGGGCTCTGTGTTCACCCCTGAGTATTGCAGGTCTGGAACTTGAGGTTCAGAGAAACAGGTGACTGTGCAGCCTACCTTGCTTGCCCTCCACTGAGGCCTCAGAGCAAAGCCAGGTGCACTCTCCAGAGGCCACGCTACATTGGTTCACAGTGGGTTTCTGTCATGCCTTTGAGGAACTCTCTGGAAGATGTGAACAAAACATTCTTTATTTATTTGTTTATTTATTTATTTAGGATTAAACATTCTCACTGCCATCCATTCCCATTTAATCAGCTTCCTGATCATCTGGGATGACCCATGCCTTGCTTAACATTGTTGGACCAGGATGAGGGAGACAGCTTTGGGAAAAAGCACTGCCTGAAACAGAGTTATGCCAGGAGGAAGGGCCCCATCTTGTTTTGCCACCACCAGAACTACAGGTTTTGACACCTCCACTCACATCGCCCATTTCTGTTTACAGTCCCCTCTGGGGCCCAAGTCTCATCTGTCCAGAATCTCGTCAGGGGCTTAACCTGCTGTTACCTCAGGCCTGTGAAAACACACACACACAAAAAAACCTTTTAAAGCTACCAAACAAACTCTTTGATTTTTTTTTTTAAGATTTATTTATTTATACAAGCACTGGGTATAGTCAGAAGCACGGGAGGGTGAGAGAATTCACCAGAGCAAGAGCAGGGAACAGAACAGGCAGACTGACAAAATACACGGTGGGAGCAGCGGGTGCAGCAGGAGAGGTCTACGTGCCATGTGGGACCCTCGCTGGGGCTGGGGATCGAACCAGCGCTGCAGAGGCTGCGGGCAGCTTCACAGCCCAGCGCTCAACTGCTGCACCACCAGGGGAGGCCCACAAACTCTTTGATTTTATACTTAATAATATTGTAAACACACAGCTCCAAGAGCTCTCAGAAATATATTTGAATAACTTCTACACCAACCTCAAAAAACCAGGATAAGCCCTCCTCTGAATAACCTCTGTGTACCACTCTGGGCCTGTGAGTACAAAAGTCCTTTACTGTTGATGGAAACAGCTGACAGGGAGAAGGCACAGCATCAGACAGAACACATGGGGTCATGGTGGCTCTGGATCTTGAGTGTATTTGGCCATAAGAGGGAACATTTAATGCACGGCCTGGTCTATGTCAGAGGCTCACATGTCATAACCATTCAAGTGAAAATAGCAAAAGACCTGAAAGTGTCTTTAGTTCTAGTTCTAATCATCTTGCCTTTCCTGATTGCCCTCTTTGCTGTCATGCTTCAGAAGACAAAAAACTTGAGTTCTCTGTGTCCTCCTCATCTTAAGTTCCATTTAAGTTGAGCCAAGAGAAATTCGACCCATGTTGCTTCAGACCCATGTTGCTGCTGCCTGTCCCTCCTGTCACCTCATAGCCTCAGAGACATATTGGTTATATCACCAAGTTGGGTCACATTCCAAGGAGAGTGGAAGTTCCTTCAGCCTGCTGGTTCGCAAGCCTGTCTTGACTAGAATGGTGATGATTGGCTAAGTATGGGAACAAGTGACCAGGGTCCCCCTCAAATTACAAAGGAAAAACCTGAAGCTGCACATGGTTATATGAGTTACCCAAGGTCATACTGCTAGGTTTGCCCAAGGTCACACCATTAGACTTGTTCAAGGTCAGACACTAACTCTCAGTAGCATGCTGGGATCCAGAGCCCGGTGTTCTTTCCTTTTAACTGTCCTCTTTGCATCCTCAGTGCTTTTCATGTAATTCCACCTTTTCTAGCAATCTCTTCCATTTTTCCTCCTCTTTATCTCCTTTCCTTTCCATACTAATTTTTCTGCAGGACTGACTTATCATAGAATGGGCAGTATCTGCACAGGATGCCGTGAAGGTCATTTAGAAACCCCTTCTCTCCTTGCACGCTAGCACTCCATGCCCTTCACAGCCCATTGACCAGAAACTTCATTATTATTGACAATTCATTGTTGTTAAAATACCACACCACTGGTTGGAGGAATGTTTTAAAGCACAGCTAGCCTTGAACAACATGGGTTTGAACTGCAAGGGTCCACTTATACATGGATTGTTTTTGTAAATGGTATAACCTCAGGTATCAAACATATAGTAAATGGTATAACCTTAGGTATCAAACATATAGTACAGGTCTGTTAATAATATGCTCTCTCTTCTTTATGATTTTCATTTCTCTAGCTATCTTTATTGTAAGATAAATATAATACAACATGCAAAATATGTTCTCATATTTATGATTTTGGTAAGGCAGTGAATTGATATAACCATCAATAGCAGGCAGTGAATTAAATTTCAGGAGAATCTAAAGTTGTATGTGGGTTGCTAACTACACAGGTGGGTTAGTGCTCCTAAGCTCCATGTTATTCAAGGGTCAACTATATTGTCGCCCACTTTATCAAAAAGAAATAGTTGAGATAAGGCTGTGATAGAAGGAGGCAAGAAGGGACTTGAGGCTACTTGGTGGTGGCTTCTACCACCCTCTCCCCAGTCAGGAACTAGAATGTCAGAAGGATGGAAAGAAAAAACCCAGAAAAGTAAATGCAGGTGTGTCTGGCTAGACTTGTTCGAAGTGCACTAGTCATGTTCTTTGTCATCTCTAGGCCTTTGCCTATGCGGTTCCCTCTGCTTCAAATGCTTTTCCTTCCCCTGTCCCTTCCTGCAGCTAACTTCAATGCATCCTTCTGGAATCAGATATCGATTCCTCTGTAGGCTTTTCTGAACCCCACTGCCACTCCCCCGGTGTTGGGCATGTGCTCTTCCTATGTGCTTCTACTATGTTCTGAACATACACTGTCTTAACACTAAATGCTCTGTGTTATAATTGCTGTCACCTGGGGAGCAGGAGTTCTGCAAACTCAGGATGGAGTTAGCAAAAACAATTTTTTTTTAATGAGTTGAAATCCAAATCCAAGTCCATATTCCACTGACCAGCAGAAAATGTCATTACAGTCAAAATCAGGGCCCTGGCCTTCTTGTTAGGGTCACACAGGAATCTGAAAAGATGATGCTTAGACAACTAGTTTTTAGTGCCTCCGGAAACCCTGGGGCCCGGGATTAGTCCACTCTGTGCATCCTTATGTGGTATTGCCACTCTGGACTCTGCCAGGACCAGGCACAGGCCCCATTCATGCAGATATAGATACCTATCTCCTGCTCCCTGAGAGGATACCAGCAATAGATTCTCCATTTCCCCCACTGCTCTGGGCCCCTTGTTTAGACTCTCCAGTGACTACTGACAGTCATCAGACAGAGATGTTCACATTTCTTCTCCTTTAGGTGTTTTCAACACCTTTGAGACAAAGAAATAGGAAATGCCCCAGGCACATTCTCAGAAGAGAAATATCTAGGGAGAACAAACACAAATGATTACCTTAATCAGTCATCCGGCCATGCTTGTTTGGATCCCCAAAGTCCTTCCCAGGACTTAGTATGTGGTCCATGGTATGTACTTGTAGTGCAGGCAGGCAGGAGGGCAGAGCGGGCAGAGTCCCAGAGCCCTCAGTGGCTTTTTCAGGCTTTTAATGATCTTTCTACAACACTTGTAGTGAGGCAGCCAGGTGCAGGATAGGCAAGGGAAGCTGGGGACGGAGAGGCTGACAGGCCTCTGGGCTCTCCAGCAATCTCCTGTGGTCTCTCTGCCACTCTTTGCCAGACCATCTTCTGCCACACTTACATGCTCAGTCTCATAGCTCAGGTGTGCCTACCTATGCATGCCCACACCATACTCAGGTGTTCACCATCAGGCGTGCATACCCGAGCCCACATTCCCAAATGCCTCCTGCATTCAAGGCCACAGGTGATAGCCATGGAGGCCAACGGTGCAAAAGCCTGAGCAATCCTCATTTACCCTACAGTGCTTACTGAGGATTTGGGGTGAATAATGCAAGTTGAATCTTGGCTGCCCCAAGGCTACCACTTAGGGTTTTACAGGTTGTGCACTCAATCTTGGTTATTTATTAAGGCAGTTTGCTTAATTAGTAAGAAAAAATGTCTTATAAAGTGTGCTGGAGAGTGTTTTGTAAGGGGCAGTATTTTTCTAATTTGTGCAAAGTCATAAGAGTTAGTGATGGCTCTGACTGAGGTCAACACCTTTTTTCTAAATTTCTTCATTAAATTCCATAATGCAGCGAGTGCAGAAACATAAACAATATGGAGAACTCAAAATCACTGTGAAGTATTTTTGACTTTATTAATTGAATACAAGAATGACATCTAGGGCCTCTCTGGTGACACAAGGGGTTAAGTCCCAGCACTATGAAGCTATCGCAGCCACTGCCGGTAACCCACATGGCACAGCAGACTTCTGTCTTTCCCACTGCTCACCTCAGCAGTGTGTTTTAGTCACTACACCTGTTCTGTTCCCCTCTCTGTCTCTGGTTAATCCTTTCATTCCCCTTCAACTCTGGCCTGTACCCAAGTTCTTGTATGCATAAATAAATAAATCTTTAAAAAAAAAAAGTGACATCTAGAAGCTTCATCTTTTCAGGTGTAAATTCACATGAATTGCAGATGAGTAGGAAGGAAGTAAAGAAGGAGAAATCAGATTTAAATCATTGCTGCTCAAAGTTATAATCAAAAACAATATGCAAAAGTCATTAATATGTCTGCATAACTTGGTAGCTATTTGTGGCTGTTTATAAGTAAACTGTTCCAAAATCTAGTGGTTTTTAAAAATAAAGTTTGTCTTCATCTCTTTTTGATGCAATTTGAATCCACACTCCTTATTTTGTCTCCACTAATGATTAAAAGTAAGTTTTCCTCCAACCTGACTAGGTAGCTTGTATCAATATGGAGACAATTATCAAAGGACACATTTGTACTTTTAAATTTAAAAACAAACAAACAAACACAACTTTCCCTTTGTTTTTGTTTTTACAGATCATGTGGCCAAGGAGCCTGTGGAAGACACAGACCCTAGCACTTTATCCTTCAACATGGTAGGTTTCAAGTTTGACCTTCATGGAGATGTGTATGGTCAGGAATGGATACAGTGCAGGTTTTCTATGATCCTGCAGACAGGGTAAAGGAGGAGTCAGAGTCCTCAGTGGTTTTGCAGGTTTTTATTGGGATTACCAGGTACTCGGCAGGCAGGGGGCTGGGGGGCTGGGAGGCCTGCCAGCCTCCCAGCCCCCAGCAGGTCTTCACTCTGGGCTCTCCGGCCTTCTCTTGGTTTCTGCATCTCTTGCTTCTCTTGCTTCTCTCTCGGCTTCTGTTTGTACTTGGCTTCTTTTTTGGCTTCTGCTGGTGTCCCCATGATACCACCCTTAAAAGCACAGTCTCAGCCCAGGTGAATCCCATCTACCTATGCCCACACCCTACTCCAGGTGCCCGCCATCAGGCATGCATTCAAGACCACAAGGATCCATCATCTATCCTGATGGCGGGAGGGCAGAAAAGCCTGACATTTTTTCTTACCCTACAGTCCACCCCCTCAGGGTTTTCTGCCATACAATCTACATATATACAATTTTCTTAGCAAACATAAACAATGCAGCCATGGCCCACAAAAGCAAATACATCACAATATAACAACAAAATACAACAGAACACAAATAAGTCCAAGCAGGGCACCAACCTAGTGGCAAAAGACAATTATTGGTACCCAGCAGATGAGCCACCAAATCTGCTGCCGAAGGCACTGCTCATACGAGGGAGGGGAACCACTCACGGCATCTACTATATCACACCAGGAACCTTCAGGCTTCCTGGCCTTCTCTGGCTGTAGTCTCGGCTACAAGCCACACACCGCATCCACCCCCAGGATGCACTCACTCTGGGATTGGCGATTCTATTCTGTTGGGGGTAATCGCCAACCCTCAGGGTTTCTGTCTGCAGTCGCTCCAACACTCGGCCTTCATAGCCACCCATGCGACTCGCAGACCCCTGCACTCAAGCCAACCCACTGCACAAGCACATGGGTCGGGGATCCAGACTCTACATTCAGCTTGGGCTCCACCCCAAGCCACGTTCCCCACCTGTCCCCCAAGGACGGGTTCCTCAGCTCCTCACCCTCACCCAAGAATGAGCAGGGCATCACCCACAGGTGATTTTACGAGACTCACTGGTCTTCAGCATACTCAGGCTGCTTAACAGCCACTCAGGGCTTCTCAAACTTAGCATCAGCACCAGCTTTTGCCTTCTCAGTTGGCTTTTCTCCTCCGCCTGGCTGCTGGGCATACACAGGCTGCTTTTGGCCATCCCGCTGGCCACCCCCAGATTCCCAAAAGAGCATTACCTGCCAAGGTCCTCTGCCTTCTGGCGGGATTGTCAGTCCAAGTCCATCAGTCCAAATCTGTTGGCCTCTCCCTGCATCGCACTGGCGAGCTCCGAATCGTGGTCCTCTCTTTGCCAATGATTCTTGCTGCCTCAGGGGTCGTTGGCTGGTCCTCTCAGGTGTCTCCTTTACGCGAGGTCTCGTCCTGCAGCACCGGACCTTGTCCCTCTCCTGTGCCACCATAACGCCTCCAGTGTTGTCACAGCCAAACACAGTCTGTTACTCCTTAGTCCCTCCAGGTCTTTGGAGGGCTCCATACCCATCTGCACGGATCATCTTGCCGACTTATGCCAATTGTAGGGTCAGGAAAGGACACAGTGCAGGTTTTCTATGATCCAGCAGACCAGGTAAAGGAGGAGTCAGAGTCCTCAGTGGTTTTGCAGGCTTTTATTAGGATTACCAGGTACACGGCAGGCAGGGGCGCTGGGGGGCTGGGAGGCTGGCAGGCTGGCAGGCCTCCCAGCCCTCAGCAGGTCTTCACTATGGGCTCTCCGGCCTTCTCTTGGTCTCTGCTTCTCTTGCTTCTCTCTCGGCTTCTGTTAGTACTTGTCTTCTTTTTCGGCTTGTACTGGTGTCCCTGTGACGCCGCCCTTAAAAGCACAGTCTTAGCCCAAGTGAATCCCATCTACCTCTGCCCACACTCTACTCCAGGTGCCCGCCATCAGGCATGCATTCAGGACCGCAAGGATCCATCATCTATCCTGATGGCGGGAGGGCAGAAAAGCCCGACATTTTTCCTTACCCTACAGGATGACTCTTATTTTTGTTTGTTTCTCTTTTGTTATTATTTCACATTCTCATTGCTCAGTAATTACATGAAGATCAGAAATCCCAAAATGATATTTTCCCGAGATAAATTTTTTTCACCATGGTATTCTCTATGACATAATAAACTTTGGGTTTCTCTAGGCTGAAAATAGTATTAGACTGTTCTTGTTATATACACACCAGAAGTGATTTTCATAGATCATGTAAGATCTTTGTCTACTTGTCTGTTTTTGATACTATCTATTTCTGATTTCCCCATCTTCAAAATATCTTCAAAATATCTGTGAAATTGGAGGGGAAAACTAGGACTAGCTTACAATACCCTAACACTGCCTACATGCCAGCAGGGCACAGATTATTTGATTTATCTCCACTATCACCTTTAATCCCTATGACAAGCCTGTAAGGTAGGTGCTGCCCATTTGACAGATGAATAAATGAGTCACAGGGGATGAGATAAGTTATCCCACTTGGAAACAGCCAAGATGGGATTCAAACTCAGCTGCTGGCTAAGTCCCTGCCCACTCCACCCCCACTGCAGCCATGGAGGCACAGCTGCTGCTTTAAGCTTTACCAGAGATATCACATACATTTTTTCATCTTCCAGATAACCTGTGAGATAGTGGGACAGATATTTTTACCCCCATTGTACAGATGAGAAAATGGAGGTCAACTGAAGAGGAGCCCTGTTCTACTACACATATTGCCTCTTATATAAGATCAAATAAATGCCTTTAACAACATTACATGTGTTCCTATGCATAGAGTGTGAGACACATAGCTTTTTCAAAGTATTTTGAGGATATGATCTATTGAGTCATGAAGCATTCTGATTAACTAATTTAGCTTAGCCTGACATAAAATACACTTAACAATACATTTCAGTGTCTGTAAGCCTTTCGTCTCGAGCTTTGTCTTTAAACCTCAAGTGCGTAACTGAGGAAGTAGACAAGCACTTCAAAAGAGCCTGATAAGTGTATTAGTGTAGGAGTAGATCTTGAAAACTTGAGGTGTTTGTTCTGTGACCTTTAGTTTCCACTGCACAGTTTGATTAGTATGGACAGTGTAGGGTTCAAGCTTTGATGCACGAAAGTTAATTTGAAAAAGTCCCCTGTCTCTGAATTCTCATACAGACAATGCAGGAGGCCGCTGTGATCATTTCCTATTCTTCCCTCTAAAGTCTTTGGTTTCTATGAAGTTCACTCTCTCCTTTCCCTGCCCACTGCCCCACCTGTGATTCTCTTGGTTTCCCACTCACTTCCCTGACACCAGGTCTCCTTCCTGTGGATCATTTCTTCCTCTCCCCTTGGGTCTCTAATCATTTCTCTAGTTGGGGGATTTCCCTACACCTTCCCTGGATCAGTTTGCTAGAGCTGCTGTAACAAGCTGCTGTAACAAAGTCCCACCTACTTGGTGACTTAAACGACAGAAACATACTCACAGTTCTGGAGATTAGAAATCTGAAGTCCAAGTGTCTGCTGGGCCATGCTTCCCATGAAACCTGTAGGGAAGAACATTTTCTTGTCTTTTCTACCTTTTGGTGGTTGTCAGCAATCTTTGCTGTTCCTTGGCCTGTACCTGCATCACTCCATTGTCTCCCTGCGTTGCCACATGCATATCCTTTCCCTCTGAGTGTGTGTCTTGGTATTTCCTCTAAGGAGAGTCATATTGGTCTAAGGTCCTCCTCTACTCTAGATGGCCTCATCTTAACTAAGTACATCTATACAGATCCTATTCCTTTTTTAAAAGTTATTTATTTATATATATTTTACATCATTGTTCATTTTTTTTTACAGTGTTTGCTTTCATTTCTCAGGTGTAGTCCCTATAGAATTTCCGCCACCAATTCACCTGTGCACCTATTTTACTTCCTTGTTAGTGTTTTGACAGTATAGGGTTCCCCCCTCAGGTATAGTTGCAGTAGCCTTCCCCCCACCAAAGCTCCCATAGTCCTCCACCATAGTCCATTGTGCTCTCCCCTGTCCCTGTACACATCCCGTTCTCTCTCCTCTCCCTCTCTGGATGCCTCAGATATATGCTCACCTTTTAAGAGTTGGCCCTAAAGTCTTTGACCCTTTGTTTGGTTTCTCTATACTCCACATGTACGTGTCACCATCTGGTATTTATCTTTCTCTTTCTGGATTATTTCACTGAGCATAATTCCTTCCAGTTCCATCCATTTTGCTGCAAATGACATGAGTTTGCCTTTTTTGATTTGCTGAGTAATATTCCATTGTGTATATATGCCACATCTTGATCCACATCTTGACCCTATTTCCAAATGAGGTCTCATTTTGAGGCACTGGGGGTTATGGCTTCAACATATCTTTCAGGGGAAACACAGTTCAACTCATAATATTGTTGCTGCTTCCAGGATTAACTATATACAAGTGACCCCTGCTTTTTAAAGTTCACATTACTCCTCTTTGCTTTTGTGAAAGACCTACATTAGTCTCTGTTTTCACTAGCTGAAAAAAAATTTCAAAGATAATTTTCATTTTTCTAGCAAAAGGGAAAAATCTGAAACAGCAATAAGCCTTTTTTTCTTTTTAAATTTTTTGCAGTAGGCATTCCAGAGCAGCACGCACCTCAAGCAAAGCGCGCCACCGCCATGCTCTTTCCCTGAGAACTACTTTTTGCAGGCTCTGCATTTCTCCTATTATTCCTGCTTTTACTGTATGCTAGTATTATTTTAGGTTCTCTGTTATTTGGTATGATTTTAGGTCTGTGAGCACTTTTCCATATAAGTGAATCATAAGTGTTTCTTTACTTTATGCTATTTCGGTTTACAAAAAGCCTTCATAGGAGCGCTTTACTTCTGGATAGCAGGGGAAACCTGTACTCCTTGATATGGCAGATGAAGCCCTCTATGAAGACCTTTTTTCATGGTCCCCCGATGAGCCAGGTGTGGGTATCTATTTGCTTTTCCTCAAATATCCCATGCCCTCTTACCTTCTTAAGGTACTGTTAGCTCTCATCCCTCTTACAAGGAAAATCTCCCTGTCTCCTTTGTGAATGAGCTCCCACACGTCCTCTTACCCAAGGTCAAGCATCCTCTGATCTATGAAGCCTTCTTTGCCTTGTCTTGGGAGCTTCAGGTGCTCCCTTTTCCATAGTCCAGTCCCTACTTTTTATCAGACAGTGCTTGTTTGTTTGCTTGCCTGACTTTCTGCAAGACTATGGTGACCATCTTCTCATATGCAGAGCTGGGCACAAGACAGACGGCGATAGATGGCCCAGATACATGTTGAATGAGCCAAACTTCCTGCCATCCGAGAATGACACCTCACCTAAGTCCCTTTGCCTCACTTCCAGAGTTTCCATATAAACTGACCCCATCATTTCATAGTCAGCCCTGTCTTCCTCCTTCCACCACCCACATGCAGCTTTGCTTCAGGCCAACTGGTCTACACCTGCCACACTTCAGCCACCTGGCCTTGCACCTCTGTCACCAACACCTTCAATTACTATGCCCGTTCCTCTCAGCCTCCTGTAGGCTTAGTTCCTCTCCAGGAACCTGTGCTTGCTCCACTGTTTGTTCACCCATGCAGAATTTTGGTAGATGTTTAATTAATACTGCATCAGAATCTAGAGATGCAAAGAGTCATTGTCTCTTCTCTCAAAATCCTCAAGTGTCTAGCTGAGGAAATAGACAAGTACTTTAAAAAGAGCCTGGTAAGTATATTAGTGTAGGTATGCTTTCAATGTTTTGGAGAGAATATCAAGAAAGGTTTATCTTGGAGAAAAACTATTTGACTTTTAATTTCTGTCTGACTGATAATTGATTTCTTTTGTAGAAGGGCTTGGAGCATTCTAGAGTTCCTGAAACTTTACACCCCAGCTACAATGAAACTCCAAGGAAAGACATTTGAAACAAAATCTTTGCTTCCACATTTGTTTCTTTTTCTCCTCTGTCAGAGGAGGACATGCCTAAGACCTACAGGGGGGCAGTAGGAAGGTGCAGCTTTCTTCAGGATTTAGAATAGTGGACCAAAGGCCCACATACAATGGGGAGTGGGAACTAAGCAGAAGTGGGGGGACAGGACAGAGAAACTGGGCACACTCTCAATACCCTATGTAACTCTTCAGAGAATGACTACATTATTTAACTACATTTCTGGTCTAGCAATTTTTTAACCTGGAGGAAAGGTTTCCAGAACATTAGATAACCTGCATGTTTGTAGGTAGCAACAAAGAAGTAAGTGTGTAAGAGCTTTTGCTGTCTTGGAATCCCTCTAATAGCACTGTCATCAGTGAACGCATTGAGCTGTGCAGAGTTGAATGTAAACAAGTAACAATCAGAACATCTTTGCACAATCAATAGATAGTTAACCTTTCCTGTCCTGTCCTAGTCAACCCAGGACTGAGTTCTAAGTAGTGAGTAGAGTCCAGAACACATGCTTGTTGACCCAGATGAATATCACAGAAATGGTAAGAAGAAATGTGTTTATCCTCATAACTCATGAAACAAACACTCCTCAAGTTTGAACTGCAGGAAATAGAGAGGGAGACTAACACTGCAGAAAAGAGGAAATGTGGTTCAGTGGTCAGAGTTGAGGAAATTAGGGAGGCTTATTCTTGTTCCAACATTAACTTCTTGTCAACCTTGATTTCATATCTATAAATTGAGAATAAAAACAAACCCTGAGTCAGGTCTATTGAAAAGTCCAAGGTGAAACACAAGGTTTTAAATTAAAATCACGACTTTCCCAAAACAATGCTTTCTTTTTACTTTGATCTTATAATTAACTATCGTGTTTTTAAAATAACTGTCATCTTTTGTTGGTTTCTACAGTCAGACAAATATCCCATTCAAGATACAGGACTCCCTAAAGGTATGTACAGTTAATATGTCTACTTGAGCTTGTGATTATTTTAATATCTTGAACAAAGCACTAGTCAGAGTAATTTTTCATTATTTAAAGTTGTAAAACAGAAATGTACTGATCATTAGGGCATGGCTTCTCAATGGTTATCGCAGGCCATGAGTATTATTACAATCTATAAATTGTTTTACAACAAATGATGCATTAAACTCCTGTTTTGTTTTTTTTTTTTTTTTTTAACATTTATCAAATGAAGATAGCCAGGAGTCTGGGTTGCAAGTGAAAGACACCTAACTCAAATCAATTTCCCAAAGGGGGGGCGACTTACTGGTCTAGAGTGCTAGACCAGTATTATATAAAATGACGCTCCAGGCTCAGCCTCTCTATGTTGACTCTTTTCCAGTCAGGCTCCTCCCACACCATGGGAAAGATGATCACCAAGACCTCCGGCTTTACTTGGTGCCACTCAAAATGCTAGAGGACAGGGCCTTTCCTCAGGGCCCATAGCACAGTTTTAGAGACAATTGGGATTTGACCAATTTTTTTTAAAAAAGATTTATTTATTTATGCATACAAGAACTGGGGTACAAGCCAGAGGTGTGGAAGGTGAGAGGATTCACCAGAGACAGAGCGGAGAACAGAACAGGCAGACTGACTGAAATACACTGCTGAGGGGAGCAGCGGGCAAGTCAGGAGAGGTCTGCTGTGCCATGTGGGTTGCTCCCTGGCTGGGGTCAAACTCGTGCTGCAGAGGCTAAGTCCCTGCCCACTCCAACCCCATAGGTTGTGTCTTAACCCTTTGTGCAACCAGGGAGGCCCGGGATCTAAGCAATTTGATCATTTGTTTTTTTGAGGGAGGATGGGGGATTTTGGCCAGGTTGAGGTTGAGTTGGGGCGGGTATGAGGTCAGTTCCACCCAAACCATAGGAAAGAGGTTTCTGTTACTAGACAAAGGGGCAAGGTGTGCTTGTAATGTCCCAAAGCAAAACAAACACACAACAACAAAAAGCTGTCTTTTAACACAGACTAATGTTTTAAGCATAATGCAGACCCTAAAAGAGGCTAGGCTTAAATTAGCCTTTCTCATTTCCCAGAGAAATCTGCAACGCTATTTATGATGGAGGCTGAGCTGCTGGCTGCCACCTCTGTGCTCTGTAGACAACCCAGAGAGGAGGAGTGGGGTGAGGCGGGGGTGGGGACAATCAGATCAGACCAGCCTCAGAGATGGGAGAGGCCTCTGCTTCCTGGTGAGATAGAACTTCCCAGTACACTTAAATGTGGGTTTCCCCAGTTGTCTTCGTGGTGATGGGTGTCATAGGGTCACCAAATTGGAGGATTGTGGGCTCCCCTTACAGCCAAACTATGGTTGAATCTGAGGTTCTGCCAAGTCTCCCTTCCTCTCCACTCCCTGATTCACCAGAAGACTCACCAGATTCTCCCTGCTCCCTGAAATTAAACCAGTAGAGTTTCATTCTTCTTGTCTCCTGTGCATGTCCTGGGAGTGGCCGTGGTGTAGGGAAGAGAGAAAGCCAGGTTTGAGCCTAAATCCTGGCTGTACTAGGGGGATGCTTCTGGCAAGCTCACTTTTCTCACCCTCTCCATGAATGATTTCTAAGGGTTGTAAATTCCCCTAATCTATACTTCTCTAGTGCAGCTAGAAAAAGGGAGGTGTAAGGTTGGCATCCAGAAGCAGATGAGAGGCAGTCTTGGGTGGTGGTCCTTAGAAGCCAGTGTGAAGTAAAGAATCTCTGGCCAGTGTTTGAAATGCAGATTCTGGGCCCTGCTGCCCTGAAGTCATGATGTGGTGGGTCTGAGGTCTGGACCAGAAACCAGCATTTTAATTTGGACATGAGTGGTTGGGACACAGATCTCACGTTGAGAGTTTGTCCAAGAAGCTTTGAGGATTTGGTTTGCTTACCAGTGAACCCTGCAGAAGAGAGAACCAAATTGTGCCCCACTGCTGACTGAGTGGCCTTAGCAGATGACTTCACATCCCAGCTCTCAGTCTCCTGTCTGCAGCGTAGGGAGCCCACGTGGTGAAAGAATTCTAGTATCAGTGAAAGGAGCCTAGAACAGTGCCTGGCACATGTGAGCATCAGACAGGTGAAAAGAAGTCTTGCAAAAGAATCATGAAAAATCAATGCCCAGTATTGTCAAAAGTTTTCATAGCAGACTGACAAAAGTGGAACTTTTAGACAAAGAGAGACGGTGACACTGTCAATGCAATGTCATGGTTCAATCTAAAGTTTTTTTTGTACTCTTAAACGTGATTTCCTGTTTTGAAAGAAAATGATTGTTGCTCAGCAACCTGATAACTACAGTAACTGTCCTATTGGGTTTCTCCTAGAGTTTGAGTTTTACAAAATTCAAATTAAGATGGTGATGAGTTTACAAGTAACATGTGTAATTACAAGTAATTTCACATGAAAGCTATAATCTAGATCTTTTCTCTGTTCCTATACATGGGAAATAGTATTATTAAACCCATAATTTCTTATCTCCAAAGAAATACAGCATCCTATATGTAATGAAACATGTCCAGATGTTTAAAACCTACTCCTAACATTTGTGTTCAATAATGTAACAATTTAACATCTGCTAGTATTTTTTTTTAAATTTAACCATAATGGGGCCAGTATCACCATTAAACATTTATGATAATTTTCTCATTTGATTTTAGGGAAAGAACCTGTATGAATTAGTGAAAAGACTAGTAGATTTTAAAGTAGATAAAATTAACTATATTAAATACAAATTGGGTCTGACATTTATGTGAATTTGGAGAGGGGGCTACTTTATTTAATAGAGGAATCATTTATAATTAGCTTGAGCAATTTCCATATGGTTGTAATATGCATAAATTTTTAAAAATTTTAAATTTCTTAACTAAAAATTTTAAACTAAACTAAAAAAATTATTGAAGTAACATTGGTTTATTGGTTTATGATACTAGCCGCTCTGAGAATTAGTATGACTTACTTTTTGTGGTGAGGAATCATGTTTTGGTGTTATTCATAATTCTGTGGACTGCTTGTTAGATGCCAGATTTCCGGAGTCTCTGACAGTCCATATTTCTGAGTCTGGAATGGGAGTGAGAAATTTGCATTGTTAACAAGCAGCCCAAGTGATTCACATGCAGGAAGGCCTGGAGAAACATAAATCTAGGACCTCTACTGCTTTGGCTTAAAAAAGAACTTTAGTAAAAAAAAAAAAACAACAGGTCTTTAGCTTAATTTCTCAGATATTATTAAGGGGGGAAGTCCTTCATTCCATTCACAGTTACGTGAGGGGCAATGAAGATAGCCTCTTATTTGAAAAAAATCTAGCAAGCCAGCACATAATAGATGAATGAACGTAAAAAATAAGTAGATGAATCACTTTCTCTTGCAGTCTTAACTTTTTTTTTTTTAATTTTATTTATTTATTTATACAAGCACTGGGTACAGTCAGAAGCGCGGGAGGGCGAGAGAATTCACCAGAGCCAGAGCGGGGAGCAGAATAGGCAGAAGGACCTAAGTACACTGCTGAGGGAAGCAGCGGGCGGCAGGAGAGGTCTGCGTGCCATGTGAGACCCTCCTCCGGTGGCCGGGGAGCAGCCGGGGATCGATCTGGCGCTGCAGAGGCTGCGGGCAGCTTCGCAACCCAGCGCTCAACCGCTGCGCCATTGGGGAGGCCCCAGTCTTAACTTTTGAATGCTGAATTAAATGATTCTCTATTGAGACTTTTTAACTTCAAAAACGTAGGTGGCACTGAACATTTATTTCATAACATACTATATTTCTATCAATTTTCATGTTAGAGTGCAATGTTGAATTGCACCTGTCTGAGACTAACCTTCACCTGCTTCCACTACTAAGGAAATGCCTGGTGTAAGCTTTTATTGGAGGAGCCCTAATTTATGATGTGCCAGTTTGCAAATAATACCATCAGTAAGATTAAGTAAAATGTATAAATGAGGAGGAATATGTTGCCTCCAGAAGCCTAAGGGCTATAAGGCTTATATCTGCATTGTAGGTGCCAGGAGGTCAATAGCTATATATTGCCAGTGTGAGGGATGGAAAGGCCTTTGGGTCATCAAACAATTTTTAGAAATTTAAACAAGGTGGCAGGACCTTGGACTCTGTGTGGGGCACTGGATGTCCCTTTCCTCTGAGCTCATTTGAGACCACGGGTGTGACTAGGCTGAGTGTGTCAAATGAATGTCCTCAGATCAGGATGTCATCTGTGTAATGTCACATGGAAAAAAACTGGATGCAGTAAAGATCTTGCCTGCAAAGACAATGTGCTATGACAAGGGTGTTAGGTCCCCCATGGTAGCCTGGTCACGAGATATGGTGTCCCTTTATTCATGAAAGCACACTGTGATTAAGAGGCTGTTGAAATAGTGACGAGTGTGATAGAATATATTAGTGATAGAATATATTAGCCAAATATGTCATAGCAAAATATTTACTAGATGCTGATACTGGGTATCTGCAACTATAATAATAATATTGGGTATGGAGGTCTTAATGGTACGAGCATTGCATTAAAGACTGCAGTAATGTGGGCCTCCCTGGTGGCACAAGGGATTAAGCACTGCACTCTGAAGCAATCTGTGGCCTCTGCAGCACAAGTTCGATCCCCAACCTGCCAGGGAACAACGCACATGGCACAGCAGACCTCTCCTGACTCGCCCACTGCTTCCCTCAGCAGTGTACTTTGGTCAATCTGCCTGTTCTGTTCCCCACTCTGTCTCTGGTGAATCCTTTCACACACACACACCCCCACACATCTCTGACCTGTACCCCAGTTCTTGTATACATGAAGAAATCTTAAAAAAAAAAAAAGAGGTCCTCCCCGGTGGTGCAGCGGTTGAGCGCTGGCTTGCGAAGCTGCCCGCAGCCTCTGCAGTGCGGGTTCGATCCCCGGCTGCCAGACGAGGGTCCCACATGGCGCAACAGACCTCTCCTGCCGCCCACTGCTCCCCTTAGCAGTGTACTTCAGTCCTTCTGCCTGTTCTGTTCCCCGCTCTGGCTCTGGTGAATTCTCTCACCCTCCCGGCCTACTGACTGTACCCAATGCTTGTATAAATAAATAAATAAAATCTTAAAAAAAAAAATACATTAAAAAAAAAAAAAGACTACAGTAATGTACCATGAGGCACCATTCATTTTCTTTCAGGCTTAAGAACAGGCCAGATTAGGATGGCAAATAGAGAAGCAAAGGAGATAATCACCCCTTCACTAGTCAGGTCTCATATAATAAATTTTGAACTTTGAAAGTCTTGTTTAATTGACATTGGGCCCTGTTAATTACTTTAATGGGGGGAGCTATGGGTCCCATTGTCTAGTTAATTCCTCTCTGCTACACATTTAATTTACCATTAATTTATTGAACCAGTGTGCCCATGCCCATTATGGGGTACTCTAGGGCAATGGCCGCTATAGCCATGGGAAATTTAGGCAAAACAATAGTTCTGATGGTGAGACATGCCTATTTGTTTTCTATTTGGGAACTCCCCTAATATTATGGGGATACCATGTTGACCTTTAGTGCATCTCCAGATATAACTGTAATTTGAACCCCAGTACTGATCAAGTCCATGAGGTTTGCAATTCATACATTTCAGCAGACATTAAAGTTTATGCAGAACCTTATAGGGTGTGGAGGCAGTCCCCTTATCTTTGTGTAAATTATTTCAACAAATGTTGGATTTCTAGTCGGGTCATATTGTGGACCTCTGATCAGTTCTTTATTCTTTTTCTTTTGTTTCCTCCTCTGATTCAGGTTTCTATTTTTTTCTCCCATTCTTACTCCCCTTTCCTTCACAGAGTATGTGCTTTCTTTATCAAGGTTTGTGCCTTTTCTTTTTTTTTCCTAGCTGAGGAGTGTGATCCAATTACTTTGCCCTGCCCAACAAATTCTGATGTGCAACATCAGGTAAGAATAATTTCAATTATATATTTACCCTTAGGTACATACTAATCCAGCTAGAATTGTTTCAGAATTATCTTACAGAGATTTTACAAATAAAGAATAGGGTTTTTAAATATGATCTTTAAGCATCCCAGCAATGTAGCATTTCTATGCAACTTCTGTGACATCTAATTACTCTAATCCATTCTTAGAAATAATTTATCTATATGCCTCAAACAGAATGTTAGTGATTTATAAAGAAATGTTGCTTTCTTTTGCATGTAGTTAGTATGCTGTGGATGGGAACTTTTTTATAAAAAATTATTTATTTATGCATACAAGAACTGGGGTACAGGCCAGAGGTGTGGGGGGGTGAGAGGATTCACCAGAGACAGAGTGGGGAACAGAACAGGCAGACTGACTGAAATACACTGCCAGGGGAGCAGTGGGTGAGACAGAAGAGGTCTACTGCGCCATGTGGGTAGCTCCCTGGCTGGAGATCAAACTCAGTGCTGCAGTGGCTGCGGATACCTTCATAGGTTGCATCTTAACCCCTTGCACCACCAGGGAGGCTTGGGAACTTTTTTTTTTAAGCCACAACAAAAGTAGGCAGTTTTATAACATGTTAGTGATATTTTATAACTTTTACTTTTTTCAGATACCAGAAATCAAACTTTAACATTATTTCCATTGCTTTTTTCCAACAAGAAAAAAAAATTTAATGTTTTCTGATTATAAAAGGATGTTACTTTAAATTTTAGATAGGACAAAAATGTATCCTCCAAATTGAGAATTACCCATCATTCCACTGTTCCTTTTTTAAGATACATCCTTCCAGATGCTTCTTTGGATTACTGGGTGCTTCAGTTACTTCTTATTCAGTTAATTTCATTTCACTCACTCAAAGCTCATTAGCAAAATTGCACAATACCTCAACATTTGCTAAACTATATTTAGAGCATTAAATATTTCAAGAAGCATGTCTTGCCCTTGGATCCATCATGCTCCTTCCATAACTCCAACTTAATTTTTAACAAGACAACTTTGAAGTTTCGTGTAGTCTTGCTTTTACAACATCCGTTTGTAATAAATCATTAATAATGATTATTTGGGGATAGTCATTTTTGTAATAAAGTAAAGCTACAAAATGGATGATAAAGCAAGCAATTTTAATTATAAACACAGCTCCTCTGAAAACTGCTATTGGTGTTGCCTTTAATTTTCATTTGGGGGTATTCATTTAACCCATTGTGAATCACATACTCATTCTTCCAGATACTCCACATTTTTCTTAGAATTTCATTCTAATGATTGACTATAATAGTGACCAAATTTAAACTATTTTAATAAACCTAATGTACAATTGTTTTTTTCTCACAATTATTTATTTCTTTAGCAGAGTTTTGCCCCTCGAAATATTTTGTGACATGATATAGATTCCACTGAAGTTATAAAGATGCTTTATTGTTTGCTTGGTTTGCTATTAGGGGTTTTCCAAATTAGGTACAGAATCTACATTAGGATACTGTTTATCGTTTTTTTCTAAATTTAGTGTTTTAGTTCTAGCTATATCAAGTGAAGATTATTCTAAAAGATAAAAAGATATTTGACCACTGAAAACGGGTGGGGGAGGGGCAGTAAACCTTCTTGAGATTTCTTTTAAAATTCTGTTTTGAAGCAGAATGTCTTATAGTCCTTTAAAATATAGGGCTGTACTCAGCTACTGCTGCTGGTTATTTCTTTGTACAATCTCTAGGATTTGTTCTTACCACTAGATATCCAGAAAAATTCTTTGAACCAACTTGGCAGTTAGAACAAAGAAAACTCACTAGGGGAGAAATGTTTAAAAAAGAAAAAACAAACAAAACCTGTCCGCACTCCATTTTCTATAGCTCAGACGTTAAAAACAAGCTGAAAATATAATCTTCAGAATATTTAATATTTGTCACTTAGTGATTTTTATCATTTGAAATTAAAATCCACTTCTATGACTTATTTAAGGTGATTATTGAGAAACAGTGCTTATTGCCTTTCTATTTTTTTTTTTATTTTTTTGGTAAAGATTTATTTATTTATTTGTTTATTTATTTATTTATACAAGCACTGGGTATAGTCAGAAGCGCGGGAGGGTGAGAGAATTCACCAGAGCCAGTCGGGGAGCAGAGCAGGCAGACTGACGAAATACACTTCTGAGGGGAGCAGTGGGTGTGGCAGGAGAGGTCTGTTGCACCATGTGGGACCTACACCGGCGGCCGGGGATCGAACCGGCGCTGCAGAGGCTGCAGGCAGCTTTGCAGGCAGCTTTGCAGCCCAGCGCTAAACAACTGCGCCACCAGGGGAGGCCCTCTATTATTTTTTATTGCCTTTATTTTTTGACATCTTCCTTTTTATGTTTTGTTAACTTTTCCTTTCTATTGTCTTATGTGTTATATCTACTGATATTTGAAGGTTCTGCTAATGTTCGGGAGTGATAAACTATTTTTGTGACCTATTGGACAGTTGGATCTCAAACTTGTCTCCTTATGAGCCATGTTTTTACTCTCCTCTGCCTCCACATTATTTAACTTACGTGCATCAATGATTCTGATACACCCTACTCCCTCCCTGCAAATAGAAGGGATAAAGCGGCCAGGGGATAAATTCACCTATTCCATAGTAAGGTTGATGCATTTGTCATTTTAGTTTACATCAACATAAATCTACAGTTGAAGTTATTGTGAGTTGAGTCACAAATGTACCACTTCCCTTTCATCAGCCATAGCCTCCTGTCGCCCTACCCTTTTTGGCCATTCTTAGATAATCATAAGCCTGGCATATCACTTTGCACATCATAGGGGCATGGCACTTCGGCCATGGAAAGGGGTAGGGGTCCAGAGGGCTTCAAGTGGCTTTTCACATCATCTGGCACCAGAGGCAGTGACCAGAATCTTTGGGCATAGAATTTTAAAACACAGAAAGCACCTATCTGTGGCCCACAGAAAGCAGATTCAGGTTTTCTTACTGAAAGTTACTAGTGTCCACCTGTGATCTATTTAGATCAATGGTTCCGGGCCCTGACTGCACATTGGAATCATTTAGAGAACTTTTCTAAAATACCCATGCCTGGATCCCATCTTCCAGAGATTCTCACTGAAGAGGTCTGGGACAGGCTCCAAGCACTGACATTTCTTAAATGTCCCAGGATTCTTACTGTGCAGCCAGAGTGGGGAGGCGGGTCCAGACCATGTGCTCACAGGTAGGGGAATCATTTGACACACATTCTCCTATTTGCCACCAGGCACATCCCACTTAGCTAGCGTTGAACCGAGGCAACCTGGAAAGGGGTGGTCTAATCCTGGAGGCATGGTACAAGAGGAAAGTCTAAGCTGCTGGTGTAGAATGAGAGAGGGTTCTTTGACACCCCAAACCAGCTCTCCATCTTTTATGCCTAGTTATCCAAGGAACAAACATTGGGAAATGCTGGGGTAATATATTTCTGGATAAGACTCTAGGCTGTTTTACCTTTGCTCCTCATCAGATTGATGTGAATTTCTGATAGAGAGATTGGGCAGACTTCTGGGACTGTTAAGGTAGAAGAAGCTGTCTATATCATTTGGTCCATTTCTCACTTTGCAGATGTGAGAACAGAGACCCAGAGATATTTTTTCCTTTTTGGGTGCAATGATCATACTTCATGCACATTTGTTTCCTAGGGCTGCTGTAAACAAGGTCCCACAGACTGAGTGACTCAAACCACAATTGTTTATGGTGTCATAGATCTAGCGGCCACAAGTTTGAGATGAAGGTGTCATCAGGGTTGACTTCATGAGAGGGTTGTAAGGCATAACCTGTTGTCTGCCTCTCCCTGGTTTAAGTGGTTTGCAGGCAATTTTGGCATTCCTCAGCTTCTAGAAGAATCACTGAGCTCTCTGCCTCCATCATCTCATGGCATTCTCCCAGTAGGGGTATATCTCCAAATTTCCCCTTTTCATAAGGCGCCAGTCCTATTTGAATAGGACCTAATGACCTCATTTTAGCTTGATTGCTTCTCCAACAACCTTATTTCCAAACAAGGTCACATTCTGAGATATTGAAGTTAGGACTGGGCTGAGGGGGTACGGGGACACAATTCAACCTAGTATAGCATGCAGTGGGAGTTATTATGGCAGCATTTATCTTGAAATCTAAGACTCAGTAGGCATTTAATAAGTGGGATGGGTGGATGGCTGTATACCTCCTAACATCCTGGTAGTGTTTGTGTTGGCAGTTAATCCATGTCAGAAAACACAGACCCCAATTGTTTATATTCTTCTATGAGCAGAATGCCAGAACTTTCCCAGCCAACTAACCTTATCTCTTATGAATGAGTTTGCTTGTGAATAAGATTGATCATTCATTCTGTCTGTCTAGGTCATACTTATATCTTCTCCTGTGTGTTCTCTTTGTTCTGCTCCCCATCGGGAATAAGGCTGTATGCTTTACTCATCCTTCAGATCACAGTGTGTTTGGTGTGATAGGCACTCATTTCTTCTAAAAATGTTAAATATAACTGTGAAAAAAATCTTCTTTCTGCTCAATAATTACCTTCCCATAATGAAATGGGAATATAATGTTCTTATTAAAGTAAGAGGAGGTATATATGATTTCCTCATTTTTCCCTTTGCATGGGTGTAACCAATCTGTGCATAGTTGTAACCACACTATACAGACAATGCAATGTTTTCCTTTCTTAACACAGTATCATAAGCACTTTGTGTAAGGAGTTAATATGTAATCAAAAGACTAATGATTTTATAGCTCACATTTTTAAGACCAAGTGTTCTTCCAAGTACTTACCTGTATAAACTCATTTAATTTTCAAAATCACCCTATGGGGGATGTGCTATTATTGTGCCTATTTGACAGATACACACCAAAGTCCAGGAAAGTTTAACAGTTTGTTTAAGGTGACACAGCTACTGAGTAGTACAGCCAAGATTTGAATTCCCCAGGCAGTCTGGCTCCAGACTCCATGCTTCAGGGTGCTTCAGGGTACTTAGAGGTATGAACCTACTGGCCTCACTGCAGGCTACAGGGCTCTTAGACCTTGTAGACACCTAGTTCTGCCACTTAGTTGTGCCACCTTGAGTTAGTTACCTAACTTCTCTCAGTCATTGCCTCCTTTGCAAAAGAGGTCTCTTAGCACACAGTAGGTGCTCAACAAATACCTGCTACATTGAAATGAAATGAACTACATGCAGCACTTAAATCTCTCATTGAGTTCAAAGCTTCTTTCCTCACCTGCAAATCAAGTCTGACCTGAAATTTTAATGCCCAAAGGAAGGGTAGCTGGACTTAGTTCTCCTCCTCCTCACCATCAAGTTAATGCACTGTGAATTTAGCTGATATGGGCAAACACCACAGATGAACATTCCCATCTACCCCCAACAGCCAGCCCCACTTCCATCTCTCCCAATGGTACATCATGCACCTCTTGCCTTATAGCAGTTCCTTCAAAGTGACTCTGGTCCACTTGACCATGGAAATTTGCCCCGTCCCACCATGAAGGGACCCTCCGACTAACTTTTTGCACAAGTTACGGTCTCCCTGTGGCACACTGATTGGACCCGGAGTATCTACAGTTCAGCAGGCATCCATTGAGCATTGAGAGACCAGGCTCTTTCAAGCACTCCCAACAAGTCATGGTTTTGAAGCCCCCAGCACTTGTCTCGGGTGGGGCAGAGATCCACTTCTTTCTCCTTATGAGCAGCTGAAGGGGAGTGTCCATACTCTCACTTTTCCACTAGCTCCTTCAAAGGAACCTCTTCCTCTTATGTTCATTGAAGGTGGAGCTGGAACACGGGTTATAGCACCACTTTTGACTCCTTCTTAGCCAGTTCTTTGGAGTTTACCAGGGACCTAACTGAAATATATGCCATGGTGCTCAGCTTGGTGCCAGTCAAAGCTCTTAAGACACTAGGAAAATATTCCATTTCATATCTTGTTATGTTCTATGCCATAGTGTTACAAAGAGTTTCCCTTCTATCAGATTTAGAGATAGTTTCAGTCATTTTGCTGTTCTAAATACTGAACAGCAGAGTGTCAATACCTTCTTCCACCAGTCACCTCGCCATGTAAGGCTGCATATTTCTTAGTCCACATTGACATCTGTACTTACAGAGTAGGCTGCATAGGCCAGATTTCTAGTTTGTTCTTCCACTGAGCAAGAATATAAGAGCTTAAAGTCAAGTCCTACTGATAAATGCCACCAAATAAAAAATATGTTTTATCTGTTAAAAGCCTATCAACAGCTAATTGATTTCTTTGAAATTAAATCTTTCAAAAATAAAGTTCTACAGTATTTTACCCAGAGTTAGTAGGGGGAGACAAAGTGGGGGCACAGTAGGTTTTTGAGCTATGGAACTTCAAGCATGCTGGTATGTTGAAAATATTACAGAAAGAGTGCCTCCCTGATGGAGCAAGGGGTTAAGACACAGCACTATGAAGCTGTCCACAGCCACTGCAGCACGAATTCGATCCCCAGCCAGGGAGCTACACACATGGCACAGCAGACCTCTCCTGTCTCACCCACTGCTCCCTTCAGCAGTGTATTTAAGTCAATCTGCCTGTTCCATTCCCCATTCTGTCTCTGGTGAATCCTCTCACCCTCCCCACACCACTGGCCTGTACCCCAGCTCTTGTATGCATAAATAAATCTTTTAAAAAATTACAGAAAGTATATGGTGCCACAGATGGAAGTTCTCAGTCCACTGTAAGACACATTATTTTCATGATTGATATTCAACAAGAAAATGTGACTACTTTTGTTTCTTGTTTATTCACTAAAGAAACAGAAGTCTTTTCTTCCAAGGATACATGTTTTTTATGTTAGATGGGGCTCTTCTCCAGTCTCCTCAATCCTAAATTAGAGGGGTGGCTTGGCATTGCTAATCCCTGCAATTTAGAAAATGATTTTGGGCCTACACACCCAAATCAATAACTTGGCATCTTTAGAGCTAAAATATAAATCATGTTGTTCACTATTTCCCTTATTTTGTACAGGAGCCCTGAGACAGTTGATAAGTAGAGAGTGGGGGACGTGGGGCCTTGTCCAGCATTACCCCCACATTCCCATCTCTAATGCCCAACATTTCTGAGTCAGTAGCAGGTGACATTACCAGTTGCTTCTGGGTTCTTGTCTTGTCTCAATCTAGGGAGAAAATGTTATCAACCTAGTAGACTAGCACAGGTACAAGGAAGACAGTTGGCCAGTAGAAGGGCTGTTCTTTTCTTTGAATTGGACAGACATCATCAGCACAGTCCCATCCAGCAGCCTCTTTGCCTTGGTAGAGCCGCCAGCCTGCCAGACTCTGCAAACCTAAAGCAATTACATGCGTTGTTACAGCAGGGAACAGACCCAATCAGCCCTTGCCGTAGATGATATCTAGTGTGAGTCAGCCCAGCAGGCCCCTACTTGTTCTTCTTGATATGCAACAATCCTTTCAAGCTCCAACAAGATCTGTTTAATAGATTGGTGAGTACTTTACTTTGTTCTCTAAGGAAAAAATCAGATTGTTCTGGTTTTAGGAAATACTTGGTAGTTCTTTATTTCATTCCTAACATGAAGTTTAGAGAATGAGGAACTAGTGCTACTAGATAAAACCAGAAAACTTCTTAGTGCCCACACATGGCATTTTTAACTCTGGTGAGAGTTCAGTTGACCTGCTGTCCCTAGCTCTGGTCCACACAGGCTGTGAGAGGGCTCTCGATACAGAGTTTTCTGGGCATTGAGAAAAGGGAGAGGGAATTACAAGGTGGGGTAGGGTTGGGATTAGGGGGAGGGGTGTCACTAGAATAGAAATTACCTGTTCTATGCTGTGAATTTAGGTGTTACTAATCTCTCTTGGCTTTGTCCTCCTTCATTCTACCCGCCCCTCTGTTTGCCTTCATTTATTCACCTTCCCAATAGTCTGTAGAGTTGACCAGCCCATGTATAGTAAGGTGATCAAGGCTGTTACATTAGAGGAATAGACACACTAGCCACCAGAAAGTTAAAATTAAGTGAGTAATACCAGGTAAACTTGACTAGGGTCTTTCAAAGCTGTCAACCATTTTTTTCTGTTTATTGATACCCTAGACAATTTTGCCCATAGCAGATAATGAGTTGATTCTCTCTCCCATTTGCTACTTAATTTCCTCAAGTTGGGTCATCTTACTTTTTTGAACTAAATTTGTCCTAGACAGTGATCTCCCAGTGACCTTCCTCTTCTCTGTGCCAATGAAGGGAAAAGTCACATCTTATAGCTCATTATCACTGGACATGAACCCACCACTCATACACCAAAATCCTTCTCTGACTCAGTCTTGTCCCTTTTTTTTCTTCCCCTTCACTCACTCCCTCTCCCTATAAGCTTAAGTTTGTAATAGCCTCCACTCATCAGGTATTCCCGTGATGCTTTGGCAGGGGATCTTTGGAGGAAATTATCTTGCTAAGCCCTAAGCTTTAGTGAACCAGGACCACCTGCGTTCTGTTTTTGATTGCTGGAGAAAACAATAAAATGCAAACTGCCATTCCTACTACACATTTTTTTTCTTTTTTTTTTTTTTAAAGATTTATTTATTTATGCATACAAGAACTGGGGTACAGGCCAGAGATGTGGGGGGGCAAGAGGATTCACCAGAGACAGAGTGGGGAACAGAACAGACTGAAACACACTACTGAGGGGAGCAGCGGGCAAGGCAGG